TTGACATTTGTCAGCCAAAATAACTTAGTTGCTGTGTGAGAGCGGGGTGCTGTGCTGGAGAGACCGTACAGTCACAGGGTTCATACCACTAGGCAGAGTCTGCTAAATAGTCAAGATAAAAAGGTTGTGTCGTCCCTGCTCCTCAGGTACGCCAGAAGGTCAACTGGCGAGAGGTTCCTCATGGTGTTAATCCTCCCTGGAGAGTTTTTTTTCCAAGTGGTAGGTCACCCAGAGACAGATGCACAGTGCGTAAATCCCACTGGCCTCAGTGGTACCTGAGTGGTTGTGGGTATCCGAGGTCTCAAGCTGTGTGGCTGGTGCCTGCCCTGCTTCAGGGAGTTTGTCTACAAAGGCACGATTGCATAGCTGTGGTTCAGGTTAGCGTGCGCATCTGGTAGCCTCAGCCTCAGCCCAGAACTTCCCTGCAGCCCTTGCCAGGGCTGGCAGAGAGACGTAGCATGGGGAGATGTCCCCTTGGGTTGCTGCTGGTGTTGGAGGAGACAGAGCGGCTGGTCCAGCAGAGTACATGAAGATCAGTCTGCTGCAGATGTGTGTTGTGATGAGCAGTGAAAGAAAAAGGCTCTGAACAGAGAACTTGGTGTTTGTCAGGTTACACCTTGACCCACGTGTCTGCAAATCTCCAATCTGTTTTAAGTTCTGTATTTTAAATCTCCATGACTAAGACTTTTCTGAGAAAGGAGATTCATCTTTAAACCCCCTTGGTGTGTTCCCCAAAGTGCTTGGGTAGTGAAAGCAACTCACTCACAGGGTGTGGTTTGAGGGAAGAGAGGGCTGTGCAAAAGATGCTGGCATGTTAAGGAGGAGCAGGAAGATCTGGGCTTCCTGTGGCTCCAGGCAGCTCCCCCAGGCCTGCCTTCAGAAGCAGCCTTTTCATCTCGCTGCCCTTCATGCTGCCCTTCAGTGAGACAGCTTCCCAAATATGGGCTTGCTGACTTTCTGACCAAAATAGCGGCTGCATGACAAAATGCATCACGGAGGAACGTAACCTTAATCCTGGCATCATTGTGTAGCAAGAGACAGGAATTTTGTGAGCTTCCACAGCAGCTTGGTGTCAGGTTTGTTGTCTGCTCCCTGCGCACATGGTGGTCCCACAGGACACTGCCCGGGCATCAGTTAATCACCTATTGCATTTTCTAACCCTGTGTCAGCTCAGTTCATGACTTCCCTTCGTGTCGTAGAGGTTGCCTCATCTCAGAAGGGAAGGCTGCGAAGGGGAGTCTGTGCTGACATGGCCTCATGGTGGGTCTTCATCATCTTTTGCTTGCCTTGTGAAATCATTTAAGTTCTGTTGGTCAAGTGAGGCTGAAGATCCTTTTTGCGAGGATTACGTATACAGAGCCCAGGAGATGGAACTGGCAGCTGTGGCCCTCCTGAAAATATCCCTATTATGCAGAGTTCTGTCATCTTTGACATTTAAAAACTTTAAAACTTTTATGATTAATTCCCTGGTATCCTGCAGGAAGCCAATGAGCTTGAGACCGTCTCTGCTCAGCTACTGCTGTACATCAGGTTATACATTTCATGCTTGCTGCTGCTGTACGTCATACTTGCTGCAGATGATTTCTCCCCTTTGCAATTAAGAGGACTCAGTATCAAGTTCCAGTTTGGCTCATTTTTTCCCTTTGATTTAAAAAGAAAAAAAGGGAGCAAAGGGCATGTAACCAAATACTGGATCAGCTCATTTGGCAAAGGTGAGCCATCGCACTGAAAGCCAAGAGCGCAGAACCGGGGAGGAGAAATCAAAGCACTGCCAAATGCTGTGATGGCACAGAGTATTCACTGGGGACATTGATGTTCACAGTGAAAATGGAAAGTAGGGCTGGATATGTGTTGCTCTGTGTCCCTTTACCGCCATTCAGTAGTGTGTTCAAGCAAAAAGCATTGAATAGAACATGAGTTCTGCTTTGCCCACCTGTCAAGGCTGTTGCAGGTGTTTCTACATAACAGGGGCTTTGGATTGGTGAAATGTTTATCTGACGAACCTTATTGCTGCTGCCCTGGTGGCAGATGTATGACTGTAGGTGAGATGCAGAGGTTTTATTAGGGAATGTGTACAAAATGTCCTCAGATCTTCCTGCAGTCACTTAGTTCACCCAGCAAAGTTTTACTGAGGGTTGAAGAGAGGCCTCAAATACGCTGGAAAAGCTGTAAACCAGGGCAGAAATTAAATCTGCTGCCAGTGAAAGCAAGCAGACCAAATGTCCTGAGAACTGTGGCTGCGTCCAGTGGCATGGGCTGCTGTCACCTGCCAGCACAGCTCCTGTCTCAGCTGGGGGGTGGTTAAGAGCACACAGATCTAGGGACCAATTTAGAGAGTGATAAATGGCTTTTTGACTGATTTTTTTAAAAAATGATTGTTTCAATGACTCTTTTTCCCTAAGCAGTACATGTGGACATGTGTCACATTCCTTAAAGGCTTCGGGCACCAGAAGTTGCAGGGAAAACTGCAAATTTGGAGTTGCATAGATACGTGGACTCCTCTGGGTGGCTTTCATTCATTCATCGTTAGCCTATCTCCAGGCACATCCCCTCTGTGGAGGCTTCAGCCGGGCTGATCCTGTACTGGTTACTGGTTTTTCAGCCATCTAACCCACTTGCTGGCCTGTCGTGAGGTGTTAAATTCCGAATGCAGTTGTTACCGTGTTTTAGCCAATGGTGAAATTCACCCGCAGTGCCCCACCCTGCGGCATTTGCTGTCTTACTCTTGGAGGACAGTCAGCGTGTTAAGGTAAATTGGTTTTGTAGCAGTTTTTCTGACTTCACGTAGAGCGTGCTGACCTACTGGCAGCACTGGTCTGAGGACTAAAAAAGCCCAAATCGTACCAGCGTGTCTGCTCTTCTAGGGACAAGTTTCAGCTGCTACAAGACTTGTCTTCTCTCTCCAGCCACCACCTTCCCTGTTTTACTCTCAGAAAAGAGTGGGCAGCCGGCGAGGTTGTGTTTCATTGCTGCCTGTGCCATTCAGCCAAGAGGGGAGAGCCAAGACACATGGCTGGGTGCCTCTTTGCGGCCATCGTTTTCCCTGGGGTCACAGCAGAGTCCAAGCCTCCACCAAGCTGACTGAATGGAGGGGATTAACCTTATTTCTTCTCTTGTTCACCCTTCAGTAAATCAAAACCTATCAGTAAGCAGTGGAGAGTATCTTGGAGATATCCATGTTGGATTTTGGGATCTGGTTGGGACAGAGGAAGATAACAGGACTGTTGGTGATGCCTGCTGAGATGTGATGTGAGGATGCGGGTTGCCTGTGGGCTGGATGGCCGTGATTGTGGGGAGAGCTGGTGTCACCGTGGCACGTGGCCAAATCCCAGGTATTTGGAACTCTCTGGAGGTTTCCAGGCCTGGGGTGGAACATTTCAGCTGTGTCCTCAGAAGCAGGTCTCAGTGGGAAACGACTGCTGCTGCTACACCGGGGAGGTGAAAAATTATTGTTTTTTTTTTTCCTCTGGGCTACAGATTCATTGGAAACAGAAGATGGTAACACTCGGGAGCACTTCGTATCACAGGGTCATTTGACCCAACACCTTTCTGTGTCTGTTGGCTTCTGGTGCACCGGCAGTTCTGCTGAATCAGCAGTAACTATGGCATCGAGGGCTTGAGACCCTCAGTGAGACCTCTCTGTGTCTTCCAGATGTTTGCATTAGGAGCGTTCCCAAAATATCCTGGGTTTTAAGGAAAATCAGCTGCTCTAGCTGACAGGGCGTTAATTTCCTCAGGTTTTTTAGATGTTACAAGTCCTGGTTGGGCAAAACATTTGGTGCTTGTTGCCCAGAGGAAAGACACAGCCATGTCCTTCCAAACAGCTGACAACCCCTGTCATGCCTGTTTTCACCTCAAGCCCATTTGGTCTGAATTACAATATTTCATTATTGCTACAAATGAGAGCATGTATCACATCAAATGCAGCTACTCAGGGTGTTATTTCCACAGAGAGGGCCAAAAAAAAAAAAGAAAAAAGCTGGCTTTGGGAGGAAGGGCAGAAGGATGTTGCAGTGGGCACGGGGCACTGGCTTGGCAGCATCGCTGGGGCTTGCACCGACGCAGTCTCGCACCTTGCCCTGCCAATGTTTATTTTGCTTGGGTAAACGTTTGATTTTAGCAACACGACCGCAATGCGTGAGCTGTGCTTGGGCTGTAATTCGATGGGAGGAGGCAGCTATGTGCAGGGAGAGCTGCTAATAGAATGCTGCGCTTCCTTGGGATGAGAAAAGATGGTGCCTGGGGCCCTTGGGGACAGCGCAGCTTGTCCTCCTCAGCCCTGCTGTCACCCCATGCCCGGGGGCTGAGACCCAAAGCAGGGCTGTGCCTTGCTAAGGGCCCCTATGGCCCAAATTGATGTGATTTCTGAGGGAAAATTGAGTGTTTCAGTTATTGCGGCGCAGGTCCCCCCCAGGGCTGTTGGAGGACCTTGAGGTGCCATGGGGCTGCCGCCTGCCTCCCACCAGGCTGGGTGAGACAGGAAGGACGCACCCAATCCGGCTTAGGAACGGCTTTTATTCACATTTCCAAAGAAAACTGAGGTTTTGCTGAGTGCACCACAGGGTGGCAATCAGGATGGCAGGGAGGAGGAAAGGGTGTCTCTTCAGGACAGCTGAGGCAAGAGCGGGGAGGAGAGGGAATGTCCCTCACCCGCAGATTTCAGTAATGGCATAAGTGGTCATTAATTCACATTTTGTCACTAAAATGCTGCTGATGCTCCCATTAAACCAGCAGGCAGCTCCTGAGCCGGCTCACCATGGCAGGGGTGAGGAGATGCAACATGGCAGCTCCTCACCGAGCACCCATGGCCCCCTTGGCCAGGCTTTGCTGCTGGGCTGGTAGCAAAATACCTCCTTGGAGGCTTAAAGCTCCAGTTGTGCTGTCGTCTTGCCAGATGTGGCTCACAGACACTCGACGCAGCCCCGTTAGTTGTGAGTACGCGAGCAGGGTGAAGCTCACACTAAACCTCCAAGGAATGACCATCTGAGGCACTCGGTATTAATGTGTTTTATTTTCCCAGCGGCCACCCTTCTCAGCACTCAGTCTTCATGCCGGTAGCCAGGGGACTTGGCCAAGGAGGTGAGATGCAGAGCTGGAGGTGTTTAGGAGATTCGGGCTGTCGATCTGGCCTCAGATTTATTCAACTCCCTTCATAAACTCCAGGAACTCTGCCAAGGGGAAGACATTGGAGACAAGGGGTGTGAGGTGGGACCGAAGCGCCCTCGGAGCTGCCAAGTGTGCTCTTGGCAGCTTTCTCCAGCCCTGTCTCCTTTTCCATCCCCCCGATGCGCGAGAGGCTGAGGGGGAATGGCTACTGCTCCTCTGACCATGGCGAGGACTCCTCATGACTCCCACTGGAAATGTCACTGGAGCCCAGCATCACCCTTGGCTGCCACCAAAATGCTGGAGGTGAGCGCCCGGGGAGGGATACGGCCACCGGTGCAGCTCAGAAATGGTCTGCGGGTTATTTCAGCAGCGTTGCGTTAAAAGATACGGCTCTTTGGAGGTGGTGCTTGTGTTTAGGGGGCAGGAGGGGACGGGCAGGTCTCTGGTGAAAAGTGGCATTGCTCCAGTGCAGGGTGGTTTTCACAGCATGGGGTCAGTTAAGGCAGCCCCAGACGCTTGCTACCATTTCACAAGTGTAAGAAACCCCCTATCCCTGTGCAAACACTGGCTGCAGTCAGGCATATTGCCCAGCACTGCCTGCATGAGCTCATGCCCATCCAAGAAGGCCACCAACACCATGGGAGCTGCTCAGGGGACACCTAAGGGCTCACGACCAAACTGCATGCAAGAAAGAGTCCTACCATCATAGTCAATCTTGCCATCATTGTTTTTATCCCCGTCTTTCATCAGTTCTTCTATGTCATCCTCGGTAATGGTCTCTCCTGTTGCCTGCAGCATGATCTTCAGCTCCTCGAGGTCGATGTAGCCATCGGCATTTCTGTGTGAGGACAAAAGAGATCAGGAGCGGACCACGACACTGGGGAGGGGGAACTGGGGCGATTGCGCTGCTCCCACCACCCCACCATGCTGCAGTCACGGCTCTTACTTATCAAACATCCTGAAGAGATCTGAGAGTTCCTCTTCGGTTTTTCCTTTGCTGTCATCTTTCATACACCGGACCATCATAACTAGGAACTCATCAAAGTCTACAGTGCCGCTGCCTTCAGACAGAATAAACACCCATCAGCTGGCACTACGGTGCAATGCCAAGCGAGAGATCCCACTTCCCTTTAGTAACCAAGGACCAAAACTCGGGAGAGCAGCCCTGCAGCAAGGGGCAGCTTTCAGAATGCTGCGGTAAGTGACTGAGGCCCTGCACTGACTTCGTCACTGAATTTTTACCTTTTGCAGTCATTTCGCCAAGAGAAAATGAACCAAAAGTCCTGCTGGAAGCACTGATGAATGGAATTTCCTGCTATGGAGGTACCTGTCCATCTCATCTAGGTATTATTAATAAAAGCTCCAGAAAGCAGGTATTCCTGTAGTGGTTTTGCACCAGCAGTACAGTACTATTGTTTTCAATGACACAGCTGTTTTCTGGTTTTTTGCCTGACTTTTAACTGCTTTTTTATTCCCTGGTTATTTAGTATGGTATTTCTGCCCAACTTGCACAGAGTGGATTTTGTTATGTGTGATCACCAGTATGCTGATTTAATCAATATTGACATTTATGTGTGTGTACACTTGAGCAGTGAAAGACTTTCCTGACGATAGAATTCTGTAATTGTGGCATTTCTGAAACGGCAGTTGCTACATTCAGCCTTTATTTTGTTTTTTAAATGGATCTGTGCAATTTCAGAGTACCCCCCCAAAATCAGTTCAAGCAGCCTGATCATTATAGGAATAATAATTTTTATAGTTTCTCTTTGCCTGGACATTTCCTAAAGGAACCATGCTGAAGTTTGGTGGGCGTTAGTGTCCTTCAAAACCACAGCACTGCAGGTTGCTCCCCACAGGCTGCGACTGTCCCCACCACGGATCCTGCCAGCGCTGCACAGATGCTGAGCGCTCCCGACCTGCACCGTGCCCTCCATGCCTGCGGACATGGGGATGGTGCTTGGGAGAGTGGAAGAAACTCAAATCTCTCACCATCCTCATCCACCTCGTCTATCATCTCCTGCAGCTCCTCAGGGGTGGGGTTCTGCCCCAGCATCCGCATCACCTTCCCCAGTTCCTTGGTGCTGATGCAACCGTCCTCTGCCCCCAGCACGAAGATGTCAAAGGCAGCCTTGAACTCTGGGGAAAGATGGGAGAGGAGATGTCAAGGTGTGGGGCAAGACCCCCGCGACCCTGCAGGTAGGTAGCCCTGGGGCAGGGGGCTTGTCCCAGGCACAGCCCCCCCCTACCCATGCACCCCAGCACTGCCTGGGCACACGCACACGCTTGTGGATCAAAATCCCTGGGTCATGCCCTGCTTTGGCCAGTCTGGCCAAAGCATTTCTGGGGTGTGATTGCTGAGGCAAGCTGGGATGCTGGCTGGGGAACTCGTCTTTAGGCTGCGGTGTCAGGTTAAAGATGCACCTACCATTTTTTTGCTCTTCTGTCAGCTGCTCAACCTGTAAGGAAAACACAGAGACCAAGTCATTCTTCTTCATCAGCATCACTAATTGTTAAAAGGACATGTTATTTGTTCACCAGCCTTTGCAAAGGTCAGCCAAGCCTCACAACAGTCACCCTCATGGACCATGGGATGTACAACCAGTAGGGTTTTGACGCCACATTCTTTCCCTTAAAAAAAATTATTCCCAACGCCTTTGAAGCGAGCATCATTCCCCTAGAGTGGCAGCATGTGATAGGTGGTAGCAGTAGCCTTTGCACGAGCAGGGGAGTCCTGCTGGGAAAAGCATTTGCCTCTGTCAACCATTTGGAGACAATCTCTTGTTGCTGGCAGGTTTCACAGCAGGATGGCTGTGCTGCTGAGGGCTGCTCACCCGCAGGCTGAGGCCAGGTCAGAGGTGGGAGATGCTGGGGAGGTCCCTCGGGAGGGAGAGGGGCACAAGGCGATCCCCAGTAGTTGTTTTTCAGCCCTAGATTCAGGAAACTCCCTGCACTATCCAGAGCATTAAGAGCTGGTCTACTTCCATCCAAGTCAGTGTTTATTACAAAGATTTCTGCCTCTGAAGGGAGCTGCTACTCCCTTTAGCCTGTTTGGGGCCTCTCCCCGAAGAAATGGCCTGTGGAGCCACTAGGCATTAGCCAAGACAGGCTGGCAGGCTGTTCCCAAACCCTACCCTAATTCATTCCCTACAGACGATCAGTGGGAGCTTATTACCTAGCATGAATTAACAAAAATAATCAATGAGGAGAGCAAAGAGGAATTAATCAGTTGTACCTCTTCAGGTGCATTTCTCTCTTTGGCTTCACTCCTGCCTGCAGGTATTGCTTATCTAAAATTGCTGACCTCACTTCTGTAGCATCCATGAAAACATTGACTTTTCCTTCCCGTGCTGGTCAACAGCCTCTCTGGATTCACCCAGGTAGGACCCCCTGCCCTGACAGGGCTACCTCCGGCCCGTGCAGAGGGTTCCTGACCCCATGAATGTCTCCTTATTACCATCCCCGTGCGAGCAGTCCTCCATACCCATCCCTGCCGTGTTTCGGCTCGGGCAGAACCCCGCAACCCAGGGTTGTGGCACCTGTCTTTGAGGGAAGGCTGATGCTTTTGCCCCAAAAAGCAACGGTTTTGCAAAAGCCAGCTGGAAATCCTTCCCGTTTGCAGCAAGAAGCGGGGAAAGTGCTTTTTCTTAGCAGGACAGAGCCTGCAGGAGGCGGGCAGAGAGCCTTATCCCACTCCCCACGTACCAGGAGGTGAAGACTTTCAAGTCAGAAAGCACTAAGGACGGCAGCAGGATGGCCATTGCAGGAGGAAACCCAAGCCCACTGTGGCCCCGGTGCCGCTGAAGGCAGCTGCCGGCCCTTCGTGGTTATTGTTTGGGCAGAGCGAGGGAAGCCGCAACGCTCCCTCGGCCGATGTCCACGGTCACCATCCTGCCACTCGGGTAACATGACCCCCTCGGTGCATTCGCTATTTATAAGCCCGGGTGAGAGAGGTGCTGGAGATAAAGATGAGCTCCCTGATTGTTCCCCGGCTTTGGTATTTATCCTCGCAGCCCTTTATCTGGACACTTGTCCCTGGCACTGTTCTTAGCGCCGCTTAACAGAGCCTAAAAATGTTCCCAAAATAGCTTTGTGTTTGCACACCCTTATCTAGGCATGAGTGGGCAAGATGAAAATCCATCGGGTTCTCTGCCTGCACGTAGGGAATTTGGCATACATATAATATTAATATATGCCATCAGCATGCGGCAAATAAAAAAACACTCACTTTTGAAGCTTCCTTGACTACTGAAGTGATAGATGTGGAGTTATGCTGTATGTAAATTAAATGCATTGCAACTATAGAGTGACACTTTAATTACGGAGATGTCTCTTGAGCTGCTTATAGTCCCCTCTGGACATGGATGCTGTTTGCGGCTTTATTCCACCTCCACATCATTGCAGGGACAGGGTTCTCCGGCTGCGGTGTGGGAAGGCAAGCACTAAGCTCACAGCACTGCGGCAGCCGTGGTAACACCAAATCTGCTCTATTTGGCTTTTATCGGCTCTCCTCTTCATCCCGTGTTTCTATTTGAAGTCAGATGGGAAGTTGAAGTTCTTGAATTTTTTTCCCAGGCAAATGTTTTCTTACAGTTAAAATCTTGGGGAACAGATCCAGGAAAGAGCTGTTTGTCTCAGCTGTGCCTGGCTTGGACTTGTTTTGCCTCTGTAAAGGTGCTGGCAGTTAATGCCCAGGACTCGAGCCCCACATTTACCAGTGTGCCCCCACCTTCAAACCAGCCGCAAAATCCTGAAGGGAGTCCATCGGGTCTTTTGCGTGGCCCATTTCCCTGATCAAGGGCTCTTTGTCTGGGGTAAGTTTTTGGTATTTGAGGTAGGAATTTTGGGGTTCTGCTCTATTGCTGCAGTTACTTTTTCTCAGCTAAATTCCTCCATGGTCCAACTCCACTAAAGCCCACAGGCTTCGGGTAGGGATGACCTTCACCTGTGCATTTTTGCCCATTTCTGGGGCAGAGATTTGGAGAGAAGTTTGAGCTTGCAGGTGGGGGAACCTTTTCTTTTTGGGGGTCTCTGCCCATGCTGCGAGCGCCTTGCCCCAGCTGACGGACAGACCCTTTTGGCTGTGGGCATCGCCGGCTTGCAAAGCACTTCAGCATTTCTCCTTAATTAGGGGCATGAGGTCCCTAAACAATAAGGAGAGGACCTGTGCCTTGAGTCGCAGAGAACATAGTTAATTAAAAAGCTTAATTAGAGAGGCCTGGATTTTCTTTGATTTTACAGGTCGCATTTTTGTCCCTTTTGGAGGTGTTGCTTGGGGGACTCGGTGTTTTATTGTACAGCCTTTCCTGAGCATTTTCACACTATTGGGCTTGCTAGGCGGGTTCCATTTCACAAGGTTCGGGGCTGACCAAAGGACAGGAAAGGTGTGAGCATTTTGGGTTTTTTCTCCAATTACGTATCAAACACTATCTTTCTTCCCTCTAAAAACCTTGGAATTAAAATAGGACTTGTATGATGTATTTTTTGTGCCCTTGGTTAAAATCAGACCTGATGAACTGTATATTAAAAAAAAAAAAAAATCACCAAAAAAGCTCTTATTTTAACTCCAGTTATGGAAAGCACACAGTAGCAATCCACACAATCCAAAATCTATTTTCATCCTTATTCCACTCACGTATCACTGTCCGTCTACGTTACAAAATAATGCAGCGTTCTTATTACAGACCAAATAGTTTGGGTTTACACAGTGAGCACAGCGTGCAGCTGTGTAAGTTAAAATAGCCGTGAGGATGCCCTGCGTTCCCTGAGAGCATAGCTCACATTCTGGATTTCTGCAGAGCAGATATCGGGAGCAGCAAAGCAGAGGAGGATGTTTGGAAGTAACTTACAAAAGCTGAGGGTTTTTTTAAATCTCCCAGAAAAATAAGGAAGGGGGAAACATAGCAACGGCAGGATTATAAAGCACCAGAAAGAAGAGGGTGAGGTTTAACCCATACAAATAACGTTCATTTCGTGGGAAATGCTGTTCTGCTTTGTCTGGGCTAAAACCAGCAGCTACCTCTTACACTTTCAAGGTTTTGTTGAGATTTGTAACTTTACCTACGGGCCATCTCCTGGCCTTACAGCAGGGAACCAGGGGAGTCATTGTAAATAATTTAGCAGCACAGCCGAGAATTTCACGCTTACAAAAGGAGTGTGAAACCTTTGGAGCCATCAGTGGGAAAGGTCTGTGTCCTGGACGATGATGTTGACTAAAAGTTGCCACCCTGTAATTATTTCTTATTTGCATTTCTCCATTGAATTACCTCCATCACAACTTTGGGGAATTGACTATAAAATCCCCCCAAAACCCTTTAAACCCCCCTCCCCCCGTCCCCCAAAACCACATCCCCAAAGGGAGGCACTTACCGCTGCCTTATAAATGTCGTCCATGGCTGGAGAGGGTGGGCGAGGGGCCGGGGGGACGTCACGGTCCCACTCTGCCGGCGCTGCCCCCACGAGCCCGGCTGATATAGGGGG